GGGTACTTCTGGTGAGCATTCGGTTCGAAGTCCGGCCTCCATTCTGTCAGATTTTACTAATTAGGGTTGAGGTTCTGATTCGTGTTCTTCGTTCTTGGGTTCTTTTATGCATTTCTCTTTAGTTATAGTTATTTTGTGTACTCGTCGTGCTTATGGGGGTCCGTTTGGGTTTTTATTTAACTTGCGCACGAGTGTACCTTCTGGGCTTATGGGGGCCCAGTTAGGTGTAGTTAGCTTATAGATTACTTTAGTTAGTTCTTTGTACACTCGTGTGCATTCCCTTGTTAGTTAGATTTTAGTTCTTGACTTCGGTTTGTGTTATTCCTTCTTTTCATATTGCCTTTACTTTTCAAGTTCAGTCGGCCTATGATGCTTACTGGGTACATGTTGTTCTGGTACTCATGCTACACTCTACATCTATTTCGTGATGCAGGTCCGGGCACTAGTAGCCAGCGTTGATCGAGCTTGGAGCAGACTGATCCGGAGACGGGAATGAGCACACGACGTTTTGTACTATTTCAGTCTCCATCTGTATATATAGACTTGTCTTTTACCTTTCGAGATAGTCCAGTCTCTGCTGTCCATTTTTGGGACTTATACTCATTTTGTTAGTAGCTCTGTACTAGTGACTTCCAGGTTCTGGGAGGGATCTTTATTTGTATATATGTTTTGGTTTGTTTCTACCTGTCTATATTGTTATTTTCCTACTCTTGTTTAGTTTCTACCCTCAAACCCATTACTTGTTGTTCCGGGTTACGGATTGGCTTACCTGCTGGTGGGTTATAACAGGTGCCATCATGATTTGAGAAATTGGGTCGTGACATATAATTAGGAAAACTTGTTTATTTATTTTCTTTAAAAAATAAATTTTATTAGTTTAAGAAAAGAGTAAAATACAAGGTACGACATATATATGTCTATTAAATAAAATTAATAGTAGTATGTTTATCATACGGTAAAAAATAAATAAATGTACTAAAAATGTATGACAATTTTATATGTTAAAAATACAAATGTGTCTTATATAAATGTATCCCAAAATAAATGTTGAGTTTAAAGGATATGAAAATTTGTCATTTTATTTATATATAGAATCAAGAGGTGAAAGAAAATAAAATAAAATGAGATAGTAATCGGGTGCGAATATCTAGTAAAATAATGTGTATATTAAAGTGTGAGGAAAATAAGTAACATTTGTAAAGTGATAGTAGATATGAGAAAATAATATGAAGTGTAGCAAAATAATAGGTTACGTATAAAGAAAACTAAAAAAAATATAGAATTTGTACTTTTCTACGTATGACATAAATATGTATGTACCTTGTATTTTAAACCTGTTGGCATATCTAAAATCTTGAAATAACATGTTAAGAAATTAAATATTATTTTGCAATATTTGATTTGAAAAGTGATAATAGTAAATATATTTTCGAAAAGGGGTGATGTAAAAATAAAAAATAAAAATGGGCCTAACTATTGAGACTTATTCTATAGTTATATTTTTTTTTTGTTAAAAATATATAGGCCTACTTTCTTACTTGTTTTCTTAAAAAAATGTGTTTCTAAAAGGTAAATATCTTAGCCTTAAATATATTTCTAAAGGGTAATTGCTTTAGCCTTTAAACTAGTTTCAAATTTATTTGAGAGTTTTAAATGATGAGTTTTCCTATCCCTAAGATAAACAAATAACTTCAGATGTATGTAACTTTTAAAGACTAAAAAATAAGGTAACAATTTTAGCAAACTTATAACATCCATTTTCGGCTTTTAAAATGATGTTCTTCTTCCTGAAAGTAGTGTTTTTTTTAAAACCGTTTTTAAACTCAAACTATTGTACTTTTAAACTCTCAAAGTATAGTGGCTAGTTCCAAAAATTTATACTTTTAGATCCCACAAAATGGTGTTCGAAACTAGGGAAAGAACTGCATTTCCACACCAAAAAAATCTGCCTAGTAGGGCTTGTTAAAAAACTGTATTTTTTTACCCTCTCAAAACCTGCATTGTCCAAGTTAAAATCTGCACTTTTTTATGCTAAAATTTTTCTTGGTAGAATATGTGAAATCTGCATTTTTTCGCACTATAAATCTGCAATTTTTTAAGCTAAAAATCTGCATTTTTAAAGTTCAAATTGCTGCCCCT